GTTTGACAAGCTTTTTTATGCTTCTTTTTTGTTGCTAATTTAAGCATGTTGCTATTTGCAATATTACACATGTATAATTTTGCAAAAGATCACCAGAACCCAAAAATGAAGGCAGAAGCTCTGAGATTGCATTAGGACAGGGAATTAGCTCTCCTCAGTGAGCTGTGAGTGCTCAGCAGAGGTGAGGTAGTGTCCTAAGACTGGAAGAGGAAAACCCAGAAAATACCATAAATTTGCAATGCTGCAGCTGGATTACAGACTTCTTGGACAGTTTGCATCAAGCATGCATGTGTGACAGCTTGTGGGAGCTGAAGAATCTGAAAGCTGTCCAGCAGTTAAACTTGCCCCAACAACTGATGCAGGTTTCATGCTCATTTGCAATTCAATGCAGCAGTTTTGGGTGGGATTTTTTTTCCCCATAATTTTTAAATTGTCTGGGAGAAGGATCTATTCAAAGGAAGAAATACGCAATGTGAAATCAATTAGCAGAGTTCAAGCCTCAGTGCAGTGCTACGATACTTTTAAATGCATGCAACGTGATGGTTCTGCACTGCTTGCTTTATACAGAAAAAAATGAAAGAGGAATGTTAAGGGAAAACAGAGAAAAGGTGGTTATACACCTGATACCTCTGCTGGGCTTGGTAGGGAACACCATAAGCACAGGAGGAGACAGCATTGTGAAATGGCATATGCACACGCAGGAACTGCAGTAGGACCTGCTAATGACTCAACTGCAAGGATTTCTTCTTCAGAATAGGCAATTCCCACAGAAGATTTCCAAGGTTTGAAAAGCTTTGGTTTTCCATTTGCAGAGGCATGTTTCCAGGCTCCAAAATGCCTTTTGAAACAGACTCACATCTGAAAGTGGATGTGGGAATCAGTAATGAAGCCAAAACCACAACTACAGTTAATGACTATTGGCTCTTTGGAGTTAAAAAAGAAATATCCTGTGGGATCCTGTAAGAAAAACCACACTTTGAGAGTCCTGGCTTAGCAGCAATTCTCTCATGCAGTGGCTCTCATGCAGTGCAAAGTGGTCTTTGAATGGTAGATATTACCAGAGTGATGTAGAACAAAATTTATCCACCACTCTACCACCTCCATTGCTATTTCCTTCTTACTCTTGAGTTCCTGACCTCTACGCACTGCATCACAGAAGAGACTGTGTGATGGGGAGCTTCAAGCAGAGGGAAAAATCTGACACAAGATCTGTAAAAAGTGCTTGGGGAGAATGACTGTTGCCTCTGTTTACTTAGGCCTCATGACTTTTGTACAAGTTGGCCACTGGGTCTACCTCTGCGGTCAGTCCATGGTCTCTGGTCCCTCTGAGTCTGGAGCAGAGGGAAGCAGCACAGAACAAGTTTGCAGCAAAGATACTGATGACCCCAGCTAGGGTCCTCACATCATCCTTCCTTTGCACTGTACAGGCAATAGCAGTAGATCTCCTCCCTCTACCTTCAGACAGTGTGGATTTGTTTTGTACAGAAACTCAAGACAGTAGATGTTGCTACTTGCAGCTATGTGAAGAAACACAGGCATGTAAATTCTTAATCAGAGGAACAAAAGATCATCTGGTTTATAGGAAGAAAAATATTAGAATAAAATTCCAACTAGAGTATGCAATTTTTGCATCCATTTCAGCACCTCTAACCTCTCCACCTCATTATCCCAAGGTATAAAAACTGTAAGAACCTTTTTCTTTATGAAGACAATGCCAGGGAACTGAGAAAGGTTCCCTATCACTAAAAGGAAGAGTTGTTGAGGAAATGTTGAGTCTGACTATGAGCTAACTGACTTCACAGCATCAACCTTGATAATAAATTTCACTTCACTTCATAAAGGTGTCCAACAAAATAAACTTGCAACCTAATTTTGAAGGCAGTAGATACAACTAGTAAGTTAAAGAGTGCTGAGAATTTGTTTTACGCTTTTTTCACACTGAGATAGAAAAATGTCCCTAGAGAGCCTACAGTTTTTTATTAACTTCCCTTGTCATGACACAGAAACAAATAACACAATACTTAGCATCCATGCTGAAGTTCTGGACACGTTACCTTTACACAAGCTTATAAAAAGAAGAGAAGAAGAGATTTCATATTCCTATACAGTAAATCTACTTTAATTTGGGGAGCCAGATGATTTATTTGCAAATACTGTCATTGTCTCCATGGTGAGGCTGACACCAATTTTCAGTTCTTGCACTGATCTCTGTGATTATAAATTTCCTTATAGAATAAACAGGCTCTTGAGAGGATGAGGATGGTGATACTAGTTTTTTGTAGATTGCTTCTCCAATTTGCTAGTAGAATTAGCATTTATCTGTCATTTCTCATGAAAGTGTTTCCACAGATCTACCATGACCAGCCACAGAATTAACCTAGACATTTCCTATTGGCAACAGTGAGAGAAGGGTTATTAAGCTACATGCTTTTGGTCTGAATGTCTATGTTTGTTCTCTTCACAGAGGACTGTGGGTGATTAGAAGAGAAAAGAGTTTGGCCAGAGAGACTGGTACTCTGACATCAGCACCTAATGAACAATGAGGGTGTGCCAGTGAAGCCAGAAGGAAATCTCAATCTGTTCATAACTATTTGAAAAATTTTCACTCTAGGGAACTAGGTAATGACATCAAAACCACAGCCTTATTAGCTAGGAAGTGGAATTTATCTTCCAGCGGTAAAACATGAACTTTGCTCCATTTATGATTCTTGCATGCCTCACTGGTCTTGCCAGGAAAAAAGTGCATGCTACACCCTGTGTAAGCGCAAACTAATGGCTATAGGCTAAAACTTGTCACCCTATGCAGAAAATTCTCAGATACATAGTTTGGATGGAAATTCTGCAACTTCAAGCTCAGTTTTTCTTAAGTCATTTTTCAGATAGGCAGTAAAGCCACAGATGCTGTTTATCAAGGTAGACAAAAGATTAACTCCTCCAGTCCCAAGGATACTCTAATATCAATGGAAGAAACATCAGTGCTCCTCTAGAAAGTGAGGGGATTTCCATTTAAATAAGTTTCTGGGCTAATTCCCATGCATCTTACCCCCTCCAGGCAAGAAAAAACCCACACCTGCATAATAAGTTCAGAAGTCCTCTACATGCAGAAGTTCAAGATAGTCCTTTCTCATCCAGAAAGACTTCATGGAAAGAAAGCTTGAAACATTTTCAGCACAGGCCAGTGGTGCAATGCTGACTTGTTCTCACTAACGTGGGCTACTGGTCAAAGGCAAAAATACAGCACTGTCATTCCCTCCACAGAAAGATCTAACTGGATAATTTGGACACGTGGTGAAAGTGATTTACTTATTTTCAAAAGGTGCCTCAAGTTATGACTACTAAATCCGTAAGTAAACTCTAATTTCTGGTCTGGATTATAGAAACGCAGCATTTCTCACTCCTCCTAGTGCTGTTGACAGTCTTATCTTTGACTTCAGTGAGCTCTGATCAGGCCCATGTAAAAGCTAAGCCACTTCAGAATCACTGCCCAAGTGTTAACTAACAATCTGCAAGAGCAGAACAACATCAGGCCACTTCAGTACGCCCCTAGAGGAAGTACACCTGCAGAGGAAAACTGACTACTGTTGTTTTTGAAAAGGAAAACCTGAGAAATAAACAATGCCTGAAAATGTGCCTACTAGGGGACAGATCCACATCTTGTGACAATTGAATTCATTGAAGGCAGTAAAGCTACATTAATTTTCAACAGCAAAGAATTGGCCTTTTTAAAAAAAAAATTGGCATGGACTCATCTAAATCTTGAACTGCCATTTGCATTAAACCTGGGAAAGTATTGCCTTCCTTTTTCAGTGTTTTTTTGGTCTACATTAGATAAAGCAGATTTCAGCCAATCCAGCAATAGAGGAAATTTCCAGATGAGCATCATTAATAATGGATAGGATTTTCAATAATCAAACTGGAATAGGAACACAAGTCCTATTTAAAAATGTGAAAAAACAGTATCCAGAGAGCTTCCAGCATTTGCTGGAATTCCTCAGAGTACGTTTTCACATGATCAAATTTTTTTAAAAAGTTCAGGACTTCTACCAAAAATCAGTTTGGCTGATGATTTAGTGGGAAACAAGCCCCACCAAAGAGAACTTTTCTGTTTGTCAACACATTCATCTATACTTTGTTTGCATTGTCCTGGAAGGACTGGACATACAGCACTGTAGGACAAATATTGAACATTATTTTATATAAGCAAGACAATGCTCATCTAAAGCTTTAGCATAAACATCAGGTAAAGAGATTTACCAAAGTGTTTTTTTACTGTAAAATATCGATATTTTTGTTGCCAAAAAAGTCAAAAAATGACTTCTTCCCACTTGTATAACAATAAGGTTTGATAGGTAGAATGTATGAAATATACAGTAGCTTCTTCTGAAAAGCTATCTAAGCTCGCTCAGCTTACAGTATGTGGAATGTAATTATCCAGAAAGTGAAATATGTATAAAAATAGGTAAAATTCCTACAACATTTGTATTGATTTATAATTCCTCCTGCCAGGAAGGTTACAACAGGTCTACAGTATATGTATGAAATGTTTGTTCATAAAGTTAAAAAACATCATTACCTTACTGAAGAACACATTAAATGTAGGAATGCATAATCAGAACTGACTCTCAATTCTGCTTAGCTGGTGCAAATCTACACAGAGAACCATTATCCTTTCTGCACAAAACAAAACCAACCTCGAATTTGAGAGTTGGGGGTGTTTTTGTTTCGTTTGGTTTTGTTTGTCATAGAGGGGCCAGACTGAAGTTTATGAAAGAAATTCCTCTGGAAGTGGAAGTACATTGTCTAATTTTTTTTTCCCTATCTCCACTTTGTTTACTGACAGCAGTCACCCACCTTTTAAAATGATTATTGCCTGACATTACATGGAGCTTTTACTGCCTGGTCAGAACAAGGCAGTGAAATAGAAAGAACCTCCATCTCCCCTGTCATGACCCAGTTCTGGGCTTGTGCTTTTTTGACGAGTCTTTGATCTGCAGCAGGCCTCATAGGCTAGTCTCCCGGAGGAACATGGTGCCAATGTTGTAAGAAACCTTTCTCACTCTGGCAGATGTGATGGAGGGTTTTGGCGGCTTCTGACCACTTCTGACCTCAAGGAAGTAACAGATCCCAGGAATTTCCTTTGGAAAGTTTTCTGGAAGCTCTTCACGGGAACGAGGGATAAAAATAAAATTTTCTTCCTTTTTCAAAAGCCTAGAAAAAAAAACAACAAACAGAGGCATGTAAAAAACTGTAAAACACAGCCCAGAAACATCTCTTTGGAAGAGATTGATCCTATGTGGTCCTAAATAAAAAATAAGTTAAAAGCATTATGTAACATCTAAAAAAATCCTAAGCCAGGATCCTTAGCTGATATATATTAACCTACCATCATCAACTTCAAGGAGCTCTGTTGACAGATCAGCTGAGGAGATGGCCCAAATAAACACATTCTCTGAAAATCACTGTCAGCATTCAGAAAGTCATCTACCAGAAAGGAAACTGAATTCATAATGATAATTATCCTTCACATATCATTTGGCTCACTTAAAACACTCCAGTCTGGCCACTTGTGCAGAAATGAACATTTCAGAGTGATGACTACCACTGGATCTCCTGCTGGAAAGTAGGTATGAAGGTGACAGTGCTTGGGAGCTCTCACAGGTGGGTCAGTCTGTGCCCTTCTCATATGCAGTAGTATTATATTTCATAAATTAGGTTCAAATACATCAAATCCAGCTTCAACAAAACCCAGAATCAAACCTGACATTATTAACCAAAAGTACCCATGGGTTTAATCTGGACCACCTGGCTGGGGTCAAAAAGGTGCATGGGAGCCATGAAACCATCCTCCAGGCATGCTCACACAAGCAGTACAACCTCACAGACATGACTATACTGCCTTTGTCATCTTCCTCCATAGTGGAGAAGTCTCCATCTGGCTACATCTGAAAGTTTAGGGCCTCTTTATCCAGTATCTTCCCTGAAACTAGTTGGACTTGTAAAATAAAGAAAATAACTCTACACATTTTCTTTTTGGTTCTGGTAAATTAAGTAAGGGGTACTCAGTCCCTTGCAGTGTTGAAAAGAGCACTTTTGAGGTAATGGTAAATTCTGAGCACAGTTGGATATATAAAAGCAGTCTTCATCTTTTCCCCTTCCAAGATATTTATTCTTTCTCTCAATTAGTCTTATCTGAAGCTCAAAAACATCAGTGGGAAAAACTTCATTAGCTTCAGTGGGTTTTGTAATAGGTTGTTTATTTAATGTCTCTAAAGCTGATTTCTGGGAAGTAAATGAGTGAATGAATCCTGTTGCCAGGAGAACCTTCCAGGATTCTCAGCACATGTAATGGTACTTCCTTTACTAGAGTATTTTTCATGGGTTTTGGCTGAGAGAAGCTGTGTGAGCTCATTGAAATATAACGGCATTTTCTTCCCAGCTTTTAAATAATCATTTGGTTATAAATCCAGCAATGGTTTTGCCTTTGAACTTCTGTGGTGGTCTTTGTTTAGCATGCGGTTTGAATGTCATAATCTATTTTCCAGGCTGTCAATTTTATGATCAAAATACTGTAATCTTTTCTAAATTGCATGAGAGTTTGCAGAGGCCTCTACAGAGAAGCTTCTCTCTTTTCATCTCTGCAATGCTTGAGGTAAATATTTTGCGTTTTAAAACTACAGGCTTAATACACTGAAATAACTCTTTGCTGCTTCCCAAACTAGATTTCTGTAAGCAACAGCTGAACTCTTAGAACTTACTGAGCTAAATCTGTAAGCTTTCGCTGTAGTCATTCTTCCCCCAAATGACTACTCACTATGGAGCATCTGGCCTTGCTAAAAACCAATGGTTTCTTTCTCAGAGCCTAACATTATCTACTTGTAATGACAGTTATACAAGTCTGAAACTGTAAATACATATATACCCTTTGATTCAGTTCAGGGCTAGCACTGAGTTTAGTTGCTATTTCACACTATCTTCCTCATAGAACAAAAGTGCAAGATATTAATTAAAGGCCTTATTTTCACCTTTTTTGTGAAGTGTAACTTGGCTGCAATGAAATGCTCTGAGAGTATCAAAGGTGCCAGGAGTGATGGGTGACTAACCAATTAGTCCTTTGGAAACTTCTCCACTCCTGTGGCCTGTGACAGCCTTCGCATCCCTATATTAGGTTATTAGGTGCGCTGTTTGAATCAGCCTCTCACCCTCAGAAATTGTCTAGCTGACCTTTGCTGGGATAACATTTCAGCTCCCAAACAAGCATGGCAGGAAACCTAATGGAAGCTAATGGAAGCTACTTATGATCATATTCTATCCTACTTACTTTAGTTTATACTTTTAAGAAAAAAAAAATCTGCTGTCTTTTGTAATAATACTATTAGAAAGACTTTAATCAGGACAAAAAAGGCCTCTTGTTAGCATTCTCCTAAAGAACAGATTCTTCAGATTCCTTAAATATGTTGGTTCTGACACTTGGTTTCCCAGGCTGAGAATGAGATTATGGTTCAGAAGTTGTCTCTGATTTATTATAGCTTTGTGTATACACTAATGAAATAACTTACTGCTAATCCTCAGCGCTTATCAGTGAGGACAGTTTTCTGCAGGAATCTTCCCTCCTACATTTAGGCCATTCGTGATGTTAAAAAGAAATCAGTAGCAGTTGATGACCATGGCCCAGATCTACAGCCCTTTCTAAGTTTTTCTGTCTTCCTTTTCATGAGTACAAAGAACCCCAAAAGAGATTTCTGCCAAGCAGCAAAATGAATAGTGCAGATCCTCAGTGACGGCAAGGCCAAACCACACAATCAGTTTTTGAATTGTTCCCCAGGCTCAGGAGAAAAGCCAATGTAAAATTCCTGGTCTGGAAGGTTTCCAGGGTGGTGGCACATGGTTCTGGTTGTTTGTCTGGTTGTTTGGACCATTCTCAGAGAATTTAGTTGTGGCCAAGTCAGATTGACTGTTCTGAAGGTTTGAGAGCACAATCTATCCTGAGAGCACAACGTATCCTTCACCTTCAGGAAATTACATGGCAGCTTAAACTCTACACAAAATGTCCCCAGACTGTCACATAGTCATAGAGCTTAAGCTGAAGTTACACAACCTCCACAGTTCAGGAATGTGCATATAACAACTTGTCTGAAAATATTCCAAAGCATTTATCTCAGCTGTATTTTCTGCATTACTTCTGTGTATTTCCCTTAAGAGCACTATTGCAAAGGATATTTTTATAGAAGGTTATTCACAGGTTCAAAATTCTGGGTTCCACTCAAGTGGTTGGATATACATTTTACAATTCAGTGCTTAAACTGTGAGGGTCAGGCTACTCAAGGATTCCCACAAATTCCCCAGAACTAGGTCTACCCTCAGCTTGTCTTTTTTATTGATATTGCAGGGGAGGAAGAATTTGTAGTTGAGTAACTTTGACAGCTTCGCTTCCTAACCGGAAATCTTCCAGAACTGCTTAAATTCTTGTCCTGTCCCTTCCCTGATGGAAATGCTGTTGTTTTCAGACAAAAAGAGAGAGTATCTGAGAACTATACCATTTTTTTTTTTCATTTTCAGTTCCTTCATTTAAAAAAAGAAGGTTTCAGCATAGAAACAGAAAATGTGGTTCTTTCCTAGTGGAAACAAGAAGCATTTCAAGGTCAGGAGGTCTGTGTGTGAATGAAAATTGGGATCATACTTAGTGGGAACCCTGAAGAAGCTTTTGAAAGCTGTAGCTCTTTTTTGCATAGATGAAATGATAGGGTAATTATATTTCAAACTATTTTGGCAAGAAACAGTCATATCTTCATCAGTGAGTTCCTGTATTCAGGAAATGAACTAACAAAGATTTGTTACTACAGAATTATTTGTTGCAAGGCCCTCTATGCTGAGTGTATGCTTTCCACAATGATTCTTACTCTATGCCCATTGGAAAACCATTTCATTTCTTTATTTCTCCACCTTTCAGAGATGTCGGACCTTTGTACTTATCTGT